TGCTTTTGTCGAATTTCAAAAATGTAAAACGACAGTTTTGTTCAGAATTCGATGCTGATTCCGAAAATGTATAATTCATGCCAATTTATTTTAGGACGAAAAGTGACCATTTTGGCACCTGTCCTTTTGGTTGACAAAAAAGAGAAAATGAAGCACATTTTTGAAGAAAAAAAGTAGCTCATCATTAGCCCAGTAAAACAATTGTTTTAAAAGCAGATTCAACGAACGCTCACCAAATTTTACCGTATTTTGTAGAAGATTAAATTCTCTACAAGCTGCACTATTGTGCATAAAAATTCAACACAATTGTCCTGAACGTGACTTTACAGAAGATACGTGTTTTTTCTAAACGTGATCCTCACCAAAAACAACTTTACCACCCACAATAATTATAAAACACACGACCATGATAGTTCTTCGGAGAAAAATGTATGCGAAGTCGTGCAAGAAATTTCTTTTAGAATATTTTTATAAAATCTCGCGAGAGCTTATACGGTTTTGATCTCAACATGTCTCACGACAAAAATTCCTGCGTTTCGTCTGATAAAAACCTGTTTTTTCCCAGTGAAGTTCTCATGAGGTAAAAACGCGTATTTTTATTAGACACAACGCAGGAATTTTTGTCGCCTGATCTCTCGGCATACTCTTCGATTTTTTTTTCCAGTGGGCAATATTTGAAATAAGGAATCAAAAAAAAGAAAAAAGCAACTTTATTTAATTAAATTATTTGTTTTATTACTTATGTTTTTTTATTTTTGCCTCAAAATTCATACATTGTTGAAATAAAACAGATAACAGTCTGATAAATTAGTACCAAAAATATAAACATCAATCAGAAAATATCGAACTATGTTTGAATATTTATAAAGTAGAATTTTCTGTCTTCATTCTAAAATATACATTTGATAGCAAACAGGGACAGAAATATTCATCAATTAAACATACTCTAATTGTCTATGCCCTTCGAATGACCTAAAATAGAAATTAGTAAATCACGTTTGTTAAACCAAATAAAGCACTCGTACAATTAATTACTAAAAATGGATGTCCAGGTGGGTCCATATTTAGATTTTCGTTGCATGTTAAAACATTCTAGAGAATGTAGACTTTTCTCGACATATTCCTATATATATATATATTCTATACTAAATATATAAAAATTATTTTAACAACATACTTAAACAAAGTGAATACTCAAAGTGTAAAGCAAACAATGTTTGTTTTATTTGTGACTATTTATTGGCCGTCGATACTTCTTGGTACAGTTGTTGTCGCATTAATAAGCAGACTAAAGAAGGTAAGTCTAATCGTTCATAGTTCAAGCTAGTACTGTTTAGACGCATCATGAGATTTAATTATATTTTTCTTGTCCTAATATTTATTGAAAATCATACCTAAAAATAAATTCAAAAATTCATTAAAATAATAAGCAATCCGAATGTTCAACATCACTAATGCAACAACTGAAAATTAAATTAAGAAAACGATTGAATCCATAACAGTTGCACAGAAATAACTCATAATTATTATTATGTAATGGTTTATTTATCTAAAATTTGAGTCAATAATAATATGCACAGATGGAAATTGATCCCTGTATAAAATGGTTGATATAGAAGATGGATGAAAATTGGCTGAATTATTTGTTGATGGTGATAGTGTTAGTGTTTGTGTTTATTGTTGAAAATTGTGAATCGTTGAGGCAGAAAAATGTTGATGATATCGTTGTTGTATTCATTGTATTGATTGATAGTGGTAGACTGGTGAGAAACATAAAACAAATATTAATTTTGATAAACCATTCGATGACATAACATTGATCAAATTATCGCTGTAGTGGAGGATAATTTGGAGAATAGAGGGCATGGTTTGTTCAACAGTGAACTAAATATGAAGGTCAGAGAAAGAAAAATGAGAGAGAATTATTTTTCTTCGCAAGAATAAATGGCGTCGGACAACTGATGATAATGAGCTTTAAAAAACTTTCCACTCCAGTATACATTTTTCTTCCACTTGTGTTTGACCTGTGTTTGAAAAAAGAACGTGCAGTTGTCAGTCTGCCGTATCCAGAGACTATCCTCCCATTTTCAGAAGTTTTTTACGTAGCGTAATTCTCTAGATCACGTCGTGAGCATCTGAATCTGGCATAAGCGGTCCGCCGTCAATAGGGCGTTCACCACATCACTATCGTTGTGATTTTGACTGCTTTAAAAGATAGATTTAAGAAAAATTAAATGAAAACGAAATTTGAAGAAGAGAGAGAGAAAGAGAAAATGAAAGAGCTCAGAAAGAGAGAGAGAATTATTTTTCCCCTGAAGCACAAATAGCACCGGACGACGAGCTATTAATGAAAAAAAACGCATCATGTCTGTCGACATAAAAACAAAAATCCCTGAACGATTACATAATATCTGGCGGCATAATAAGTACATCGATGTTATTAGGATTTATTGACAACATTTTGGTTTCCATTTCACATGTGAATAAGGCACAATAGTTTCAAGAAGATTTAAGACCGATGAATTGCTTGACCAAATATTATTTCTTCAGAACTTAGCAGGATTTCTCGAAGCCAATGCTATGTACATTTAGTGTACATACATAGAGCTTTATCATGCATAAAAAGTAATTTCTTGAATATCAGTCACCTTTTTCTCATTTTTTTTAAAAATGGATTGTCGTGGCACTTGAGAATGTTTTTCATGAAAATATTGCTCATTCTATGACTGACTCTTTTCGTTAATGACTCACAGTAGTTTTTTTACTATAAAAATAATGAAGATATCAATGCACACTGGCTTTCGTACCATTTCTCTATACTTCTGATAACATAAAATGTCTTTCATGGAGATGGGGATAATTCCGAATTGTTTTGGTTGTGACTTTTTCCGTCTAACTTTCGATATATCCCTCGTTACCATTAATAAACTCTTTTTTAGCTTGCAATTTGCATTTATAACAATTTGCTGCCGCTCTTGTGATAACTTCAGTGGCCTTCCGGAGCTTGAATAATGAGTAAAATATTCATTTTCCGATTCTTGTCATCATTCTGTTACCCAATTCAATGAACGCTACAATTTATCGGTATTCCCGCTTCGATTAATAAAAATAGCTCAAGCAATGCGAGCTTCGCGAAAACAAATGCATTTAATTCTACCGATTACACGCTAAAATTCACCGTCATAAGTTTCAGCCATATATTAATTTAAAAATACTAAAAACATAATGTACAAAACTATACAGAAATAACAGTCGAGTAATGAGATTTTTGAAAACGTGCAGAATTTGTGCGTAAACAAGTGTTGCAATATGTTATATTGCAATTTAACTAAATGTATCTTTTTATTGTAACGTCAATAAATCCTGTACATAAATAATAGAATAACAGATAAATAATCCTGTACATATGAGTTTTCAATAATGCATACTTTTTGCTGAGATACATTATAAAATTCTTTTTATCAACCGTGTAAAACTGTAATCTATAATTCATTTTTAATATATTCGTTTTTGCATCTTATTTTTTTTAAAAATCACACGATATTTCCAAACAAAAACGATAATCGTTCTTTAATATTTTATTATTAATTAACTTAACTACTCTAATATGATTAGAAACTAATTTAAGAACTCAGATTACAATACGGTAATGCTAATCAGAAAATATGACGGAATACAAGAATAATTCTTTCGTAAACTATCATCACTATCCTCCTGTTCATATCGATTTTGTTTCTTTAGAAAATGTTTCAACAAGATAAAGATGATGGTTGTACAGTCCCATGGGGTCCAAAACCTTGGCCAATTGTTGGAAATTTGATTTCATTGGGTAGACGCCCGTATGAAACAATATATAAATGGTCAAAAAATCCGTTATATGGTCCAATATTTAAACTTCGTTTTGGTTCACAAACCGTTGTTTGTTTAAATTCAACAAAACTTATTCGTGAAGCTTTACATGAGAATGCTGAAATATTTGCTGGACGACCCTATTTATATATGATTAATGAAACGGTAAGGTTCTTTTAACGAATGAATCAATCTTCTATTGAAGTTCGCTTATTTTAGCTTCATGGAAAAGGTATCATATCAGCACCTTATGGAAAAGATTTTAATGAACATAAAACATTTCTAGTTAGAAATTTAAATCGTTTTGGTCGACGACGTTCAAGTTTAGAAAATGCTTGTTTGGAAGAAGTAAAAATTGTAGCGGAAAAAATACGTGATCAACATCAAACAAAATCCTTCTCAATGGGTCAATTCTTAAGTGAAATTAGTTGTAACAATATTTGTACAATTACAATGGGTCGCTATTTTGATTCAGCTAAAATCGGCCGATTTTTGGGTAAAATCAATGAAAATTTTAATCAAACTGCTACGATTGCTAGTTTCAATTTTTTACCATTTACACGATGGTTTCAAAAAAAATTATTTCAGAATGTCGCTGATTGTGCACAATTTGTTCAAACATTGATCAAAGAACGCGAAACAGATTTTGATGAGCAATCTATTACCAATATTGTTGATTCCTACATTGATAATTTGAAGAAACAAAAGATACAATCATTTTCTAAGGAAAATTTAGATTCATTAGTACAAGATTTATTTGTGGCTGGTACAGAAACCGTATCCAATACATTGAACTGGGCCATATTTTATGTTACAGTACATTCTGATATTCAACAAAAAATTCAAAATGAAATTGATAAAGTGATTGGCAAAGAGAGATATCCATGCATTAAAGATCGAATGAAAATGCCGTATACAGAAGCGGCAATATTGGAAACAATGAGGTGTCAATGTGCTGGTCCAATACTACTTCCTCGTTCAACAACACAAGATATTTTATTTTGCAATTATTATATACCAAAAGACACATTTATTCTTGTTAATATGTGGTCCGTTATGAAAGATGAAACATATTGGAATGAACCAAATGCCTTCGAACCCAGGAGATTTTTGAATGATAAACAACAAATACAAAATAATCATATAGCCATGATGCCATTTAGTGTGGGTAAACGTGCATGTGTCGGAGAAGCAATTGCGAAAACACAATTATTTTTAGTATTTACAAGTTTATTACAACGATTTGAATTTCGTTTTATGGATGATTGGAAACCAAAAGATTTACAAGGTGAACCAGGTATTACATTGAGACCACCCGATTGTAAATATATGGCTCGTGTAAGGTAGAAACAAACAATAGTAAAATGTTATATTTTTTAACTAAAGAACCAGTGGTCAATATCTTTTATTTTATTTTCTAATGTTTACTGCAGAGCAGGTTTAAGCAGTCTTGATTATACTGAAATGTTTCGTTGATATTAGCTTTTTTTTATCCTAATGTATTATACTTTCATGTATATATATATTTATATAATCGAGTGTATTTTGTTATTGCCTATTGCAGAATAATTCAGCCCAACTTATATTGTTATTGCTTGTAATCATTAATTACAGAAGATACAACTAAATAAGCATAATAAATTCTCAAGATATCTTGTGGAAAAAAAATGATCTTTGAATATCATATACTAAATTCATATAGCAGCACCAATTATTTCTGATAACTTGATTTTTATGCAGAGAAAATAATCATAAGGAACATAAAAGTTGTTGAACAACAATTAAAGAAGAAAATCTGAAGCAACAAAACACTGTCGAGTATTGATAATAATAAAAATCGTGTGATTTTGTGTTGTACTAATTTGAACCGAGCAGTAACAAAGTTTGAAATCCATTGATCTGTTCAAGAAGCACGTTTAATTAATAATATAATAATATAATTATTGAATACTTTAAAAAATTCGAGTAAAAATAAAGAAACAGCCAATTCTCGCTCTAGTACGAATACGTCTTTATTTCGATAACTACTGCTGTTGTCGTTGACATGTTAGATAATGAGACTGGCACTAACGAGAGAAGACAAAACAGTGAATTATAAATCACAAGACACTACGCCGTTTGTGTCCTGTCCGTCGGACTGCCCGTAAAGCGAAGGAATAAGTGCAAAAACAGCCATTTGCGTCTCAAAATCTTCGTTTTTCTTTCTGACGAAGAAAAGTGCTGAAAGTTTTCATAAAAGACGATTTTTGATAAAAGACCAATATTCAGTTGTGCATATGTTTCAATGGCATGTAGAGTAGTAGTGGAAAAAGTAATAAACAAACTTTGTTTATTGGCTTATGGGAAAGTGATAACGTGCATTTTGTAGAGCAGAACAAGTTCTATAGAAAATACGTATGGATCACTTCTTTTCATTCTATCATTTCTTCAGAATATTGAAAATATGAATGAAATTTTTGAACTTTAAGGTTACCGTGAGATCGAACCCATTAGTCTACAATAATCAAAAAGTGCATATATGATTTTATAGTTTTATTCATAAACTACGAAGAGCATATTTTTACAGATAAAATACTTAGATGAAATGAAAAAGTTTAAATTAAGAGAATCGTAACACTTAATACATCAGTTAAGAAAATTATTATAACGCGATTATTAAGAATCGACCCGACTCGTCTGTAAAGAAATGTTTTTCTATGTATGTGTTGAACGAAAAAAAGTTTGAAGTTAACTGTGACACAAATATGAGCAATGTAAAATGCCATAACTGTTCATGTCTCTTCCGTAATTCATTAGAGACGCTTGTCTCCTTTATCCGTTATCTTTTTGTTCGATACAGATAGATAGATCAAACATTTCTCTACAAACTGAGATGTTCCACAAGTCAGGGCGTTATAACAATTTTTCTGGATGTCCCAAAAAACAGTTCGAAATAACTGATGCATGCCTCCATTTAATATCAGCACATAGTGAACCTCGAATCGGGGTGACACTACTGATTTTAAGAATTTTTATATATAATTAAGTTAAATACTTTATTTGTTCATAATTAAAAATGCTTTAATATTAGACACTACTTGAATACTAAACTTCGATTCTCTTCGGAAACAGCGTCAATATGAATTCCGATTGTGGACGATCTAGTACAAGTGTCATTTTGATCAGTGTTGTGCATAAATTTTGAAGAAGCTATCGGTTTTTATTTTCATATGGAAATGAGAAAAATACAAAATATGCGAGATTAATGATTCATCGAAACTCATTAGTTGCGTTGTTTGTCTGTTGTTTTTTTGTTATTGATTTTTTTTTCAATACTCTCTTCTCGCGGTTCTTATCTTTTCTGCGTGATGGCACTGCATTTACAAGCCTTTGGTTTTTTTGTGCTTTCCTTTGTTACGAGATGTTTCCTTGGGCATAAAATAAAATTTCAAGTTTCAAGCTAATATAACTTTTAATCCCTATAACTATATACGTATAATTTTTTAGTTCAAAACTTTTCTTAACTGTTGGTATCCTTTTGTTAATTGTTTCAAACTTGCGTGCGCTTGTTTGAATTTTTATTACAAAAAACCAAAGCAAAAAAAAAAACTTGAAAATAAACACGTGTCACAAATTATACTAAATAGTAGGTTTGATTACATTCTATAAGAGATAAAGCGCGATAACTCAATTCTATCAGGATCCATCGTTCGGAAGAATAAAAGTGAGAGAAAGAGAAAAACAGAAGAAAAATATGTGCCCACTGATGTTATGTTGATGGTTAGAAAAAAAATATGAAGAATATTCTAAGCACTTGTTCTGAAATAATTTCAAAATGATCCACACAAAAAAACTTACGTATACAAAAGTATTAATATGTGAAAAAATTCGTCCTACACACGATGATGTTCTTTTTTAAACTTTAAATGAACTGACAAAACTTTGTACAATTTCTTTTAATTTTGCATCAGTTTCTGGTGTCAATTCACTTTTGGTGCGTACAGATTCGAGTATATCTTTGTGTTGTGATCTTAAATGGCGTAAAAATTCTTGTTCAAATTTTGTTATTTTACTTGGATCTAATTTATCTAAATGACCACGTACACCAGCATAAATAACACATACTTGTTCTTCAATAGCCATTGGTACTAGAAAAATACAAATACATTTTTCTATAATCATTTGTAAGTAATCTTTTTTTGCTTACCATATTGGCCTTGTTTTAGTAATTCAGTTAGACGCACACCACGATTCAATAGTGACTGCGTTGCTGCATCCAAATCAGAGCCAAACTGAGCAAATGCTGCTACTTCACGATATTGGGCAAGTTCAAGTTTCATCTTACCAGAAACCTAAACGAAAACAAATCTCTCAAATCTCTCAAATATTTTTCTCTAATTTACGTACTTGTTTCATTGCTTTCGTTTGTGCCGCACTTCCTACACGTGATACGGATAAACCGACATTAATAGCTGGTCGAATACCTTTGTAAAACAATTCAGTTTCCAAGAAAATTTGTCCGTCAGTAATTGAAATGACATTTGTAGGAATATAAGCAGATACATCACCTAAAATAAGAATTATATATTCCAAAATGTTTCTGTGGCAAGAAGATGTCAATCAACATACCGGCTTGTGTTTCGATAATAGGAAGAGCTGTTAATGAACCACCACCATGAGTATCATTCATTTTAGCTATATAAAATAAAAATATAACATTCGAAAACAGTATTTGACGGTAGGTATCGGTCTTCGAATCTTACCAGCACGTTCTAGTAAACGACTGTGAAGATAAAATACATCACCAGGATAAGCCTCTCGACCGGGTGGACGTCGGAGCAATAAGGACATTTGACGATAGGCAACAGCCTAAACAGACAAAAAACAAAACTAGCTAACATAGTATTTGTCTATTTGTCGAACATAGTAATAGTAATTATTCTTCACATATTTCTTCTGTAAAAGTCAGTCTCCATTATACCTGTTTTGATAAATCGTCATAGATAATTAATCCATGTCTGCCTGAATCACGAAAATGTTCTCCCATAGCGCATCCAGAATATGGTGCTAAATATTGTAACGGAGCTGCGTCAGACGCTGTTGCAGCAACAATAATTGTATATTTCATGGCATCTATTTGAACAAATAACAAAATGCTGAAATAAATCACTACGTATAATAGAAGAGACCATTTTTACCTGTATCTGTTAATCGTTTGACAAGTTGTGCTACTGTTGAACGTTTTTGTCCAATAGCAACATATATACAATACAATTTCTTCTTTTCGTCTTGGCCTTCATTGAAACGTTTCTGATTTATAATTGTATCGATAGCAACTGCTGTTTTACTAAACAGAAGGGAAAATTAAATCAAATTTTATGCAACACTCATCTTCCTGCATTTCACTCACCCCGTTTGTCGATCACCAATAATTAATTCACGTTGACCACGACCTGGATAAAACAATCAAAATAAATAAAGAAGATAAAGTACTATTATTTAGGTATTCCCCTACCGATAGGTACCAAGCTGTCTACAGCTTTCATTCCAGTTTGCATAGGTTCACGTACAGAAATTCGTGGTATAATACCAGGTGCTTTGACACCAACACGAGCACGTTTTTTTGTTCCTAACGGACCCTAAGAATAATGATTTCAACATAATCACGCCTTGGCTATTCTCAAATGTTATTTATACTTTGCCATCAATGGGATTTCCTAACGCGTCAACAACACGACCCAATAATTCATCTCCAATTGGCACATCAACAATAGCACCCGTTCGTTTGACTATATCACCTTCTTTAATCAACTTATCGTTACCAAACACGACAACACCGACGTTATCTGGCTCCAAATTGAGTGCCATTCCCTGAAAAGAAAAAATTGTCACTTCAATAGCATCGAAGATCGACAGAATAGACTTTCAGAAGTGGTTATTTATCTTTCTCCTCTATCGTGATTTAAAACAGCATTACAAAGAATAAAGCTGGCAATACGAAAGTCAAAGTAATTTTCACCCTTGTACTTATTCAATCCTACCACGTTTTACATTCGTTATTTTTAACTTGAGCTGTTTTTATTTATTTGTTCTGCAACTATGAAATGTAATTTTTTTATAAATTTTGTAGCAAAATGTAAACCATAATCTTGCATGAAAAGAATATACTCATCTGTTCTATTTGCTTTAGTTTATTACTCTTGATCCCGTGTTCATGTTTAGATGACGGTATTGATATTATTTCGATAGATTGACAACCTTTGATGACTCTTACTTTGTGTGATTAAAAATTCAGTTTAACAAAAACCTCTCTCTACCTCAAATATATTAGCAATCACTAAAGATATTTTATGAGCATTACCAGGAAAAGCACTATTTAGTCCACACTGTAGTTCAAAACCAATAGCAAATGTATGATTTCAGTAAAAAAATAGCCAGACAAACCTTTAGACCACTAGAAAATTCCACCATCTCTTCAGCTTGAATATTTTTTAAACCGTAAACACGTGCAATACCATCACCAATGGTTAATACTCGTCCTGTTTCTTCAAGATCTTGTTTAGATTGATGTCCAAGTATTTTCTGCTCTAATATTTGAGAAACTTCTGGTGTACTAGTTGCATATTTCGCACACGTCGTTGAAATAGGACGAATTTGTGTGGATTGTGGCAGGTGGGCGTTTTTATTACTGACAAACTAAAATCGTTTAAAGAAATAGAATTTGAGTACACTTCCAAGATCTAATGATAAATATTTCACGCATCAAACTCACTTTAACTGATTCCGAACTACAGGCTAATGCCCGGTTTCTGACAAGAGACACCAAAGCCCGTTTCATTTTGTAAATTTATTGTTCGAAAAACGTAGGCAGTAGTAATGGAATGAGAACGGATTTTTTAACAGGACTGCGGTTACTCTGTAGAAAGTACAAATAGCGTATCACTAAGTGAAAAAAAATACAGAACAAAGATGCGAAAGAAAAAGTTTAAAAGGATTAAGGAAGTTAACTATGTCGCCCAACTCGTGTTTGAGTTGAGATCTCTTTTCGGGTGAATATGATTTTTTCGTCCTTAATAAATATTTCAGTTTATAAAATGAAGTCCAAAACAGATTACGAGAGGCCGTACAAAGCTTTACAATTAGTGGATGATGATAACTTATTTCATTGGTCGTCCATAATTTACTTTTCTTTCCTTTCTTTTTTGAGTCGTCGATTCCTCATCCGTTCATGCTAGTGTTTATTATAAGTAGTAATATTAAAATAATGAGATGGATTAAAAAATGTTTTAATTAATTGAACAATATACATAATTCCCTGCTGTAAGTCTCTCCTTTAATGACTGGTTATAATCTGCTAGAAACCAGTTGAAATATCTCTGCTTATTACCAAAACTGTCTTTATTGAATTACTACCACTTCATGTACTTTTTTAATGCAAAATTTTTGATAAATGAGAGGTAGAGCGTCTTAACTTAGTTTCGTTATACAGATTCTTTCACCTCGGTGAGTATTTAGTAAGTTTTTTTATTATCTATTACGTTTTAGATGAAATGAATATGATTTTTGTTAGGAACTTGTAGCAGTTATTAATAAAAAAGTACAAAAACGATCGTGAATGGTTTAACAGTGACTTAAAAAATGTACGTATTCTACTCGTTTGTAGAATGTTCTAAGTGGATTAAAACGAGTATTCCTACCGATATATAAAAATTTTGAATATTCAGCAGAATACATCCAGTAGTTGTCTTTCATTATGCAAACGTCTCAAGGTTGTGATAAAAGAGATTAGTAGACTATTTGTTTCAGGGCTGCTATCAATATCCAAACATTGTCAAATTTTTTTCAATCAAATCCTAACGATTATCGTTTAGAACAAGAAGCCGAAGTTAATTTAAAAGCATTGCACACATTTCTTGAAGTAAAATTTCTTTTCTAATTATACAAACATATTTTTATATTCTCCCGCTTGATTTGCTAATAGGATGTTCCAAATATTTCAACAATTCAAATTGGTTTGTGTGGTTTTATTACTTATTTACAAGCGTCAAAACGAAGTCGGCATATCGAACATTTATTTATGGCTAAAGATTATGTGTCAGAAATCATTGCATTTGCATTTTATCATTTTTCAGCTGTAAGAACTTGACTTACAAATTGAGTTCTAAAAATTAATTTTCACTTTTATATTTGATCTAGAATCCTATTTTATCAGCCAAATGTTTATATGAATGTATGACAATATATCCAAAAAGATGCCCAGCATTTCTTACCGTAAGTGTAATAGATGCCTGTCTTCTTGTAAACACAAGAAGTTTAAGTAAAGTGTTAGCGTTCGTTGTTCATAACATAACCTACGTATACAGTTATTTTATTTATTGTACGCAACTGAGATAACTAGATGTAATAACTAAATATTCGTCTTTATATATATTCAGTTTCTATTATAGGTCAAATTTCGTCCATTGTTATCGAGAATTATTTTCAATAAAGAAGTTGGTCCTGTTGACGTGAGTAATCGAAAACAAAGTCAACTGTAATCGATGTATAACATATTAACTAGGAATAGTGAATTTAGTTTTGTAGTTCATTCAATCCAAAACTAAGCTCACATGTTCGAGGCAAAAGTTAATTTTGTGTTTTTTGATAGTTTTAGAATACTATAAAGGAATTTATATCCCACTCGTATTCTGAACGATATAAGCTTATGTCAAACGGAAATAATGACTAGTCAATGTAATCAACGAGTTTTTTCATCTAATTTAGATTTGTTGTAAATGCATAGCTCAGTTATCTGTATTAGGTCCAAACTCGGGACAGAGTGGACAAAAACAAGTAAAGTCATGGAAAAATGATTATGACAAATATCTTAAAATATCAAGAATTTTGGTTGATCAAATCTATTTAGACATAAATGGTAATTTTATTGTAATCACCGTTTATCAGTTGTCTTACATTTATCTTTTATTTCTCAGAACCATTGTCTCCTGAGTCAATTACAGATGAAACCAACCTAGAAGCAGAAATTGGTGAAGAAATACCTGTGAACGATTATGTAACAATATTCTGTAATTGTTGTACGATTCTACGGTACATGTTCAAGTACGTGTTTTGAATGAAAATATTTGTTCGACATAGCTAAATATTCTTATCTTCGTTTCAGTGTCAAATTAGATCTACCCGTTCCCATTGCATATGAAAAAACATTTGATGTCATAGCAAAAGTTGTAACAGTTACACATCAGCAATATGTAAGAAATCAGTTTCTTATGCTCTAGCTTTTATTCTGCTTTTTGTTTATTTTCTAGGCAGCTATTCATAATCATAAGAAACAACTAATCAATAGTTTACCAACAATGTTTGAAATATGTATACATCTGTTTGATGCTCTTATCACGTGGTATGTGTATTCACTCTTCTCAGTTCTTGTCGAAGATCAGAAAGGTCTCTTTTTTTTCTCGGTAGTGTTCCAGCGTGTTTCTTATTGCAATTGAAAAGAATAACAGCGATACTTGTAACGTTACTTGATGTAGTACGAGGATATCCCGAATGTTTGTAAGTTTTTACATCGTTACTTTGCTCCACTCTTTGAATTAAATTTCGTTTCAGAAATGTCTCCATCAGTATTTATCGTTCATTAGAAAATTTATTCAATTTTTTTGATCGTAATTTAAGAATGGATGGTGATATTCTCCAAAAACTAATCAGATGGATCATACATGAAACATCCATACGTTTACCATCCAAAACTCAAGTATGTAAAGTAGAGTTGTTACCATTATGAAAAGTATAGGAAAGGTTCTACCTGGTCTCTCTAGTGGAAAAAGTAAAGTGAGCATTTTAGAGATTTTAAGAGAGGATGCGTAAAATTGTGAATCTGTTTGTAATTTTGTTCTCAAAATCGTTGAATGAAACCTAAATTATCTATTTAGACAGATCATTTATCAACGCCGAATCATGCAATATCTCGTGCAGCACTTGATTGTAAGAGTCATCGTTCATCTATCACACATCAGATCAAATCTATTAATATGTTTAATATCTTTAGGTGTACAAAGTTTGATTTACGCTTATGGTGATCGTTTGCCAAGTGATCAGTATCAAGTACAATGACTTTATTTTGTTTGTTTTATGAAATAACTTATATTATGTTGTATTAAACTTTTAGTTGTTACAAAATCATTATGTAAACACATTATCCGATTATCAAGCTCATTGTGCTGATCAAACTCGTAAGAAACCATATGACGATGTTACGTGTCGCGTGTCGTTGTATGTTATAATCGAAATATTATTACAAGAAGAACGCTATGATTGCCCAACGATCCTTGCTATTGTTAAAAATTTAATTAAAGAAGGTCTTCACGATTCGTGCGGCAAAGTAAGCACTTCTACTTCTACTTGTTTTTTGTTATATTACGGAGTTGCTCAAGATCTACATCAAACATCCTTTAATTTTTTACTATCTATTTCTAGTAAATCACATTTTTCTACTTACGATTCTAATGTTTCAAAACTTATCGCTCATTATCTAGGGAAAACATCTTTTCTCATATTTTTTACATAATACGCAGATAAAATTAGGAATAGTTGATTGCTTATTTCATCGTTTGCTATAGGTGATTATTTTCAATTACAACTATAATGTAGTTGCTTGTTTTTTAGGTCAGAAAAGCTGTTCATAAACTGCGTTCTAGTCGATTGATCGCCTTAGATTCGACGCACCATCTTTATCAACCTTTTACATTTGAAAACGTTGAAAAAGCGCGATACGTGTCGGCTACATTACCAATAACAACAAAAACAATTGATCATTCTCATCCACCACTTTTAGAGCACGCAAATGATATAGCTGACGGTAGTATGATTCAGATATGTGCACTACCACCGTCAAATCACGATCAATCTCAATTACACTCGTATCCTGTATTCTCATCATCTTCTGTAACATACAAAACACCCGAAACATTTTCATTGATATCAAACCATCACCAACTAACTGATCATCATCAAACTAGAATACCAACTTCATCTAGTTCAAATTATAATTCAGATATAACAGTCACAACTTTGAATAATACCACTAATGATAACAATAATAATAAAATAAATCTATTGGATAATTCTCAACAAAGACCAATAATCAAAAATCAACAAAGCACTTGTGGTAAGAAGAGAAAAATATTAGAAAACTTTCGAAAGATTAAGCAGTATTGTGTTCGCAGAAGAACGTCAACATAGAGTAAAAATCAATCGAAAATTTTGCATAATTAACTGTTAAACATTTTATGTTTTCTCTTTGTTTAGATACTACAAATGATATGAGAATATTGCCTCAGGAATATGGTTGTAATATTTCAACAATGGAAAACAATCAGACATTACAACGTGATCGAGATTTCACTGTTATGGATAATAGTGTAAAACGGCAGAAAATTAGTGATACTAGAACATTGAAGTCAATAAAGACCGAAGATGATGAAGATTTTGCGGAAAATATTTTTAGTGATGATGAAAATGATGTGGACCAAACTATTGACCTGGATGGAATTGAAAAAATTTCAGATCATATAGAAGATACTGTTAATGATGAAGACGAAGAAGAAGATTGGGATGATATTGTTGACAAAGAAGCATATGAAGACAACGAAGGGTAAGTGAATCATTGACATTGTCCTCTTTAACATTTCTCTCCATTAATGTAGCGTCGTTAGTCTTATCATAATGCTACTCTGAAGACAAAAATATTCTTGATTGAAGGATTTGGATATGAAGGAAAATATTTCCCATTAAGAAAAAATAGTCTATTATCCTGAAGTCGTAATATCGAATAATAGGAGTATCGGACTACGCATTTTATTACGGTTGTATGCTTTAGCGGATGGATAATTGCAAAAAAACACATCATTGTTTTCTCTGATCGAACGTTCCTTAAAACTACGCGCGTTATATTTTATTTTAACAGTTCATCGTCGCTTACCAATCTTTACCTGAATAATACTTCTCATCATATGTTGATATTTGTGAGAATTCTCATTTAGATCCGGAGATGAAGAATCTGCAGAAGAAATCGAAGATGATGAGGGAACCGAATCAACTGAAGAAATTAGCAATACAATGGAAATAAGGCCAAAACCAATGAATGGTAATGTTGGGATCGATAAATTACCGCTTTTTTATGAAAAGAGATGGAAAACGGATGGAAAATCGAAAGTTATGGAGGATGAATTCGAAGGTAAAAGGAATAATTATTCTGCCTAAATGTTGCCCGGTTCTAGTTATACTAATTCTTGTTCACTTGGCTTGTTGTTTTATCTTATCAATGCATTGTTCTTTATTCTATGTGAAAACTATTGATGTTTTGTTTTTTAGATCATGATGAAAGGGCTAATCAATATAATGACGATGACAATAATCGAATCTTTCAAAAAAAATATCCGCATAATTTAACAAATGGTTTGTTGAAAATGAATGATGGAGTAGGATCAGTACAGGGACAAATTGAAGAAGATGAACTCGAAGAAGAAGCTATGGACGAAGATGATGATATTGCTGTTGTTAGCAGTGATAGCGAAAATAATCCGGAAAATCATTACAACGAACAGCAAGAATTGCATCCTACACTGATCAATGGGGATAATAATTTACTTCATCCAATGGACACGTATTACATTCCAACAACCATCAATGGAACTACCGTTTCTAAAGGTTTGTATTAATTGTTAATTCGCCTAAAACAGTCAGTGAAGGTGCTTCTATTTAGTTTCTGATTAAACAGAATGTAAATATCCCTAGGACTCACCTCATATCTTAATTTAAAGCTCTAATGACAAATTTTACAAAACAACTAAGTCGTTCTGTTATATTTTGAAGTGCAAGTTTGGGTATAACGCACATGGTTCGCCAGCGTTTTCGATATGAGTTTAGTACGGAAAATTTTAGGCAGAAAACATTCAGTTGAAAAATTGTAACATGTGTTTAAGCCCTCACTATTAAACAACTCAAATTTTTTCTGCATAGCTTCGTAAAAAGAGGAGAGAGAAAAGAAGTTGTCACTACTACTTCACTAATCGAAACTGGAATGATTTTAACTGAAATCGCGTCACATCAGTTTTATATTTTAGATGTTGATTTGGCCACTGGTCAGTTTGTTAAATCGACAGAAACAACTCAGAAAACACAAGTAACGGAAACAATAATTGAAACACTTCTGACAACTACCACAAATATAACACAAACTTTTGAAATCTCAGCATCATCGCCAACGGAGAATTGTACTAATAAAAGTATTAATGTTAATACATCAACAACTGAACCAAATTCACCTTCATCCGTCGACACGGTACGATTAAGTCCAGATGTCGGAGTTCTGGTATATTAAAAATACACAATTCTCAATTTTACTGTTCGTTCTTCGTTCTATACACATACCAAAGATTTTGCATTTCGCTCATATGAGCCCACATCAGCCTCTCCTTTTGTTTCTCATATTAACTGTGGCGTTTTTTTTCTCTTTTTGATAATTAGAATTGATATTTTCATCTTTCTGCTTCTCCTTAGTATAGTACTTATCATCAGTATCCGACAATCGATTAGAAAAAATATTCGAAAGTGACAAGATAATTAGATGTTCTGTCAAGGTATGAAATCATATTTTGAAGTATAAAGACAAATTTTCATGGCAATAAATGATGGACAAAATTTTTTAGTGAGAAAATTTCGTTGTTGAATACGGATCAAAACTAATAGGAATTCAATTTTAGTTCACTTTTTCTTCTGCTGCATGTTAAAAAGAAAAACTATAGTTAATAGATGAGTCTTCTGTCTTTCAACAATTTTATTTTAATGGTTTTATCTGTTAAATAATCAGTAGGATCTCCACGCTTCGAACGTTTTTTTTATAATTAAGAAAAAACGACTAGGTTGCTGTCGCTACTGAAATAGATTAAGATCAATGAGATACCAATAATGTGGTAGGTCATTTTATTGATGTCCTTCTATCTTTATCCTCTTTTTTGTTCCCTTTAATTTGATGACTGTTTAAAGTAGCTGTCTGTCACAAATAGCGCATACATACGTTTTTTTCTCATATTCTTACGTGTCTTCATGCATGTCGTGAATAATATACTCGGAGTATATTGAATCGTCCGATCTTGTAAATATTATAGGATAGGAGTAGTCAATATTCTGATATAATGGGGCATCAAAACACTCATCCCAATATGTTTGATGCATTCGTTTTGATACTATGAGTACACTGTGCTGTGCTACCGGGGAAAATAGAATTATAAAATTGCTGTCATCTTAATTATCGATTAACTCTGAAGAAGACATTTAGAAGAAGACGAACATCGCCACTTGAAAATAGATGGATATATCTTCCTTGTAGCGTGTGCATGCTCTCGTTCAACTTTGTTTTCGCAAAACAATCTATCAATTTCTTTTTATTTACTTTTGCATGCATTAGTGAAATTAAAAGATTTCTATATCATTTGCGGCATCAGTTGTATATCGATTTGAAATAGTATTTTGGAGGGTCTATTCTATCATATGCATGTTAGGATTTGAAGCCAATCAAGTGGTTATCTTTAATGATGTTATGACTATGTTTCTGTTTGTTCTAGGCCGTCAAAGACGCATTAGTCGCAACTGTCCTTTTAGTTGAAGATTTTTATGGAGAAAAATGAAAAAACCGGGAGTGACCCACATAACATATATACTTTTTTTGTCTAAATATATTTTTTTTACTCTGTTTTTTTTTGTAGCAGCCTTTATTGTAAGTGCTGTTTATGTATTAATAAAGTGCAAAGCTTAAATTTCAAAAATTTCATTTTTGTGTACATGAAACTGTGGAGTGTAAGTGAATTGATTTGTTGTTGTTCGTTTGTTATAAAACTCCCTCTCTGTATGTGATGATAGCTTTGTTTCTGTGGTTTTCTTTTTTTGTTCAAATATTTCTTTCTTCCTGTGTTATTTCTTTTTTTCTTTGTTTGTTTTACTCTCTTATCAATTTTGTTCGATAAAACGAAGAAAAAAACCAGAAACGTTAATAAAGTTAGAGAACAGAAAAAAGCCGCTGAATATTTTTGTAAGAGTTGAAATCTAAGAGCTGTTCATATTCAATACGATGTCAAAAAGAGATAGAGATCTGCTGTTTTCATCATTATGTAGCCAAGACTTTTGAGTATCTTTTGGCAAAAGAAAATGTTTTCAAAAACGTTTTCGAAATAAGTTTTTCAGAAAATCTTTAGAAAACTTGCTCATAGTCCAAGAATTTTAAATAACAATATATTCATCTTTTTTATATGTATAGATAACCTAAAGTATCCTCTCTAAAACGGAACTTAAGGAAGGCCTCGTTTGTTATTAATTCATTTACCCATGGTAATGGAGCCAATTTAGACTGTTTGCACATGAAGTTAAAAAACTCATAACTCACTCAAAATCAATTCAAATCACTTGAAAGTTTCAGGATATACACTATTCCATATATCCTATATGGTGGACTCCCTGGAAGATTTAGATATACGAAAAAACTACTGAGATTTCCACAGAGATCCTCCAGAAATCTTCTAACAGTCCGAATACTTTTCATTCGTTTCATCGCTAGAATCATGTCTATTAGGTAGATTAATGTATATCCTGAGACTTTCAAGTGATTTGAATCGATTTTGAGTGAGTTTTTTAACTTCATGTGCAAACAGTCAAAATTGGCTCCATTACCAAAAAAACTCCATTACCATGCGTAAATGAATTAATAACAAACGAGGCCTTCCTTAAGTTCCGTTTTAGAGAGGATACTTTAGGTTATCTATACATATAAAAAAGATGAATATATTGTTATTTAAAATTCTTCTCTATCTTCAGGCAAATTTATTCGTAAAAATCAAATGAGACCTCTTTCAAAGCCGAATTCTTGAAAATCAGTGTATGGTTTAAAGTTCTGATATGTTCAAGTACTGAATGTACATCCTGTGTTGTTAAACTACATGTTGTTCCATCCTTATTTCAATCTGCTGACAAGCCTACCGACTGTATATTTTCTTACGATCATTGCATTCGATAGCTAAACAATCCCGACTTTTCAAAAATTGTCACCTTCCATCTGTTTCCGAAAATGTTGTCCGATGGTTTTATGCTTCTTGAAGATGATTCTACATTTGATGTTTGCCTGTCGTAGGATTCTTGTGAATTTTCGACAGAATATGAATGACTCATTTATGACTCACAGCTAAAGACCAGATTAAACATTTCTTTACCATCCTGTTTGATGGCTGTTAATTGAAAATATTGTTCTGCGGTTGACTGCTCCGCTGTTCATATTATTTTTTCTTTGCAAATTACATGCTCCACTGTTCCGTCTACTGGTTTTCTTTGGTAATCGTTATCTGCGAAGACCGTTTTCAGATGTTCCAACTCTTCATTCAGTGACTGTAGATCTGAACATATTCTTACCGCTCTAGCTACTAGCGAAGTTACTAAACCGATTTTTTGATATGTTGGCGGATAAACATCCCATTTCAGATACAGATTAGTGGTTATTTGTTTCCAATAGATTCTGGTTTCTATATGGCCGCCTTTTCTAATCATTAATACATCGAGAAATGCTGACTTTTGATCGGTCTCAATTTCAATAGCGAATTTTATATTCGGATGAAGTTGACTGATTGAATCTAAAATTCCTAGTACTTATCTTTTGTCACCTTTCATTATTACAAACACATCGTCCACGTACCTCACCCATGTTGATACTTGAGATAATGGTATCGCCGCAATTTTTGCTTCTTCCAGATGGCTATTTCACATGCTTATATATATTAATATTTTCTGTTGCAAAAAGATATTCAAAAGTCTTTCTACGTAATGGTGAAAACCGCAGTTCGCTATCTTCTTTTGTTCTTGTGTTATTTAAAAAATGGCTACGACCATTTCTTTTAACGAACAGACAGTAGTGTTTATTCTTTAATGCTTATTTCTTCCAGTCATGAGCAAACTATACACTTTCGCTAAGTTTGCGTTTAGTTCCGTTTTCCACCGACTAGTAAGCGAATTCAAACAGTTCCTCGAACAAGAACGATCCCTCCGACAGACGAAAATTAGTTTCGCACTGCACGAACGAGAAAAGTACTCAAACTGATTAAAAGGTTTTTGGCTAACATTTTGCTGATAGGTAGAGTGGATGACAGTAAGAAAAAGCCTAACTAGATTTCTCTCCATGCGGATTAGTTCCACAGCAAACGCTTGTTTTTGTTAGTTATAGAAGATGTTACATTGGACTTATAAATCATATATAAGTTTTTGTTTTTGTCTGGGGCTACCCTATAAAAAAAAAAGGATGCGGCATCCTAAAAAAACAACTGGCAGGGGCCTGCGCACCCCTGCCAGCTTTTTTCGATTTGGCAGCGCTGCGCAGGGGTGCCATAACAAAAGAAATTTTGAATGCTGCGAAAGGCCTGCCGCATCATACTAAAATCCATTGCTCTAGGATGCCATAAGAATGCCGCATCATAATGGAATCAGTTAGAATAACTTATGGATTCCATTGTGATGTGGCATCCTCACCACATCCTGTAGCAATGGAATTCGTTGTGATACAGTGTGCGATGCAAAATAAGCTTTTTCTAGGCACTCTTCCATAGAAATGCGTATCTAATCAGCATCTTTTCAGGCAGGGCAAAATTTCTGAAAATGGCAGCGGTGCGCATTTTTTTGGCATCTGTCCGACATTTTTCTGCAGGAATGCGCATCCACTTGGCATTTTCTTGGCAGGGATGCGCAGGGATGCTGGAAATGGCAGGGATGAGCATCCATTTGGCATTTTCTTGGCAGGGGTGCGCAGAGATGCCGAATCTGGCAGCCCTGCGCACCCCTGCTATTTTGGATTCTGTAATGGTTTTTTTTTATAGGGTAGTAGATTATTCATCATTTTTGAATAAGCAGCAGACTGTAATACACAAAGACAGTCTATGTACACATACAAGACAGAACCGAACAAATTTCACTTTTGCACAAAAGTGCAAAAATAAACTTTGACAGTCTGTCATATATGATGCACATCGATTGGGATTGTGCAATTACTTAAAGTATTCCAATTACTTTGGAAATTACTTTGGAAATTCCAAACTGTATCACTCTATTTATACGCGTAGTATACAGCCGACCTCTATTTATACGAGGATTTATGACTAACGCCCATAGTGCTGCCATAACTACTTATTAGTTAGTGTATACTACGCGTATAAACAGAGTGATACAGTTTGGAAAGTAATTGCACAATCCCAATCGATGTGCATCATATATGACAGACTGTCAAAGTTTATTTTTGCACTTTTGTGCAAAAGTGAAATTTGTTCGGTTCTGTCTTGTATGTGTACATGGACTGTCTTTGTGTATTACAGTCTGCTGCTTTTTTCAAAAATGATGCATATATAAGTTATATTTGATATTTTCAGATTTTCGAGTGATTAGGTAGATGTACCCTGAAAAAACGTTCAACTCTTAAAACTTTTCTATCTTCGAGCTAGAGAGAAAACAAAGTCCACTGTAACATCTTCTATAACTACAAAGACAAGTGTTTTCTGTGGTACTAAACCGTATGGAGAGAAATCTAGTTAGTCTTTTTCTTACTGTCATTCACTCTACCTATCAGCAAAATATTAGCCAAAAAGCTTTTAATTAGTTTGAGTACTTTCCTCGTAAGATATGCAAAAATCGATCTCAAAGAGCTCAAAACATTATCAGACTGACCATCTTTTGGTAATACTCAAGTAACTTTAATTTTATTTGTCTTACTTTATTTATTATTTATTCGATCATAAAAATTTATTTGTTTCTTATTTCCGATTTTCATATGATTAGACGGTTCTTCAATCATACAATTATAAAACGGAAAATGTCTACGGCAACTAATAATATCATCAAAATTGGAACGCATGATGGTCATTTTCATTGTGACGAGATATTTGCTTGTTTTCTGTTGAAACAATTACCATATTATAAAGATGCTGAAATTATTAGGTACGATAGAAATTTATTTCTCTTAGGAAGATTCTAGATTGGTTGACTGCGGTTGTATTAAACGATAAACGAGTTAAATAAAAACAGACAAAATGCTTTTCTAATGAATCAAACGGGATGTAGCGAAAGAAGCTTTGTGATTTATAAAGAGAAAAAGTCTCTTCATTTTTAAGTAATATTCTATCTTAGTTTTAAACTTGCTTATACTTCTGATATATTTTCCGTATACTGATGTCAAACGGAAAAAAATAAAAAGAAGAACAACAGAAATACGAGAGATTCCACATGAAAGACACACATGAAAATCTTAATATAGCCTACATATTTCAAATCAGACGTTCTGAATACTCAATTGAGACGTTCTCCACCTTTTTTTAAGACTTTCTACATACGAACAGTACGATATTTTTGACATTTTCATAGGTTTTCGAGTATATAACTGTATCTCCTCAATCTGAGGATCATTTAGGGAGTTACAAAAATCCTAAACTTTTCAAGATGTGACTGCGAATGATGAAATTCAAATTCTATAGACAACTATTTTTTGTTACTGGTAAATTCATGTAACAAGGATATTGATATTTTAAACTTGGCTTGTTTGAACTAAATAAATATTGTTTTACAATCGCTTTTTCGTTATAGAAAAGCTCACGCTTTAGAAACGTGAGCATTTTCATCATTTTCTTTCTTTAACAGCCCTAAACTCGTGTGACTCATAGAGAAATTGTGACAATGAATTTGTCTCTTCTCTGGTTAAGTATCAGAACAATTAGTAAGTGGATGATTGACTGGTACTGAAGATTGAATCACCGAATTATTTCGTTGACGTCTCAACTATGTGGAGAGAAAGTTACAGAAAGGCAGTCTCAAGGACTGCAGGCGTAGTAAGGATCAGTTCAAGTTTCCAAGGCTTGAGCTTTTCTGTAAGAAAAAAGCGGTTGTAAAACAATATTTATTTATGTCACAAGGACTACTTTAATGATTTTTGTAATGATTTCGTGACTCATTCGTTTGGTATATGTGTGCTTTCGGACTTGGTTGAATGATAGAATAACCAGTTTTAAAAACTCGCAAGAGATTTATCGTTTGAGGACGAGTCGTGTGGCTTGAAATAACATTTGATTTATGAATGCACGAATATTGAGTTCCAATAGGAGCGTGGGATGGTGGATCAGCATATAATTCAGAGACGTAGACATATTAGAAAATAGGACTGTCGAAATATGTAGATAGAAGATAAAATCTATGGAAATCTCGAAAAAAGTGCTCTGAAAAAAACTCTGATGGAAAATAATTTCTGTCAGATCTCACCTTTGCAGAATAAATACCAAAATCTACAAACATTGTGATATATAAAGTTGTAGACATAGAAAAGTCTTTTTCCTAATTTAGAACACGAGAGCCAGCCAAATTAGCTGTATGTGATACGGTTGTTGATGTTGGCGGTGTGTTTGATCCGGAAAAAAAACGCTTTGATCATCATCAAAAGTAAGTACATTGATAAATCGAAACGTTTGTTTTCTTAATTTTCAAATTTTTAGAACATTTACTGATACATTTCATACATTACGACCAGAAAAGCCGTGGACAATTAAACTATCGAGTGCCGGTCTCATTTATGTCCATTATGGTCGTGATATCATCCAAAAACTGTTATTACAAGAAAATATCACAAACGAACGTTTAACTGATATTTTATTTGATAAAATGTACGATTCATTTGTTCAAGAAATCGATGCTATTGATAATGGTATTAATATTGGCGAAAATATGAAGTAAATCATGAAACATTTCTATTATAACAAATTATGCATTATTTTGCCTCGCTATTTAGATACAAAATAAATACAAATCTCAGTGCTCGGGTTGATTATTTTAATCCAAAATGGAACGATGAAAATCAAGATGAAGAAGGCGGTTTCAGACAAGCGATGAATATGGTTGGAAAAGAATTTTTAGATAAATTTAATTATTATGTTAAATGCTGGTGGCCGGCAAGAGAATTAGTTGAAAACGCAGTCGCTAATCGTCATACGGTAAATAAAACTTATTTAGAAATAAAAAAAGAAGGATGAATTAGATAGTCAGTTTAACTAACTGCATATCTTCATGACTTTTTCTAAATAGATTGTTGCACAGGCCAGGCTTCCCGATCAGGGGGCCCTGGAAATTTTTTTGACTTTCTGCCAAAAATTTCGAAAACTTTTTTTCGCCAGCCACTTTCTGCGAAGCAAAATTTTTAGCCCCTTCCATCCCTAAGCTGCCCTCCCCTGATCGGAACTCTGACATCGGCTGTGGATCCGAGAGGTTAAAGAGGCATCAACATAAGATTGCCAAAGTCAAAGGCGTGACAACACTATAAATGTTACGCCTTGAGAGAGGAAAGTAGACTAGATGCCAACTACTCTGCAGGCAGATTGGAAACCCAACCAAGTGAAATGTTTATTAGAAACACTTTAGACACCGTTTAGATCCCTTAACATAGGGTTAGAACCAGGGATCTCAAATTCGGTGACTCATGGGGGACAGAACAAAGGAATCACCATGACAGTCTTTGTTCTGTTTCCCATGAGTCACCGAATGTGAGACCCTGATTAAAACCTTGCAGTGCTCTAGTAGTAAACATATTTATGCATTCTATTGATAGTAATGTCTCAGACTATAAATGCGTCAAACTATACAGCTGATAGGTAACACGTGACTGCATACTGTTCATACTGAACGTATATGAAGTGTTACGTGACAATTAATTATCTCATAGAAAGGTTATTAAAAATATGCTGAACTTTTGGGACTCATTGCTTAATAGTTACAACATACATCGAAAAAATACCTTCAGATGTGTCATCTACAGCTCTTGCACTATGTTTTTATTTGCAACGCTTGTTATAAGACCGAAATTGTAGAAAAACATTCTCTGCTACGATACAGCACACGTCTCACAAAAAAGTATTCTCTTCTTCAAAAGTTATACATTTTTTTTATTATCAAAATTAAGGTATACTTTTGATACTGCGTGAGTAAAATCGTTCTACACAAAAAAACAGTCAAAGACTAAACTTTATTTCAGTCTTATTTTGTGCAGAATGCAATTCTCTATCTTGTACGCATAAAAAGATTGAGATGGACTGTGAGTGTTGGCGCATAAGTTGCAAAAAAATGGGTTTTCAACACTGAGGTAGTTCACTTATTTTCTATTTTTCCCACTTTCTATATCTCTTCAATAGAAAATGAAGGCATATTTGAAATCAGCAGACAAAAACTAGGTCGAATCATATGTTACGCAAATGTTTTTAAGAAAAAGATTTTTTTTCGAAAAACCGTTTTAGGGATCCCAGCCAAAACGCTTCGCCGCCTATGAATTATTGTTTGGTGATGTATTGCAAACTTTACTTTAGGTAGGCGAATCTGATTCAATAATTATATTTGATCGTTCCGTACCATGGCGAAATCATTTGAGTGATATTGAATATGAACAAAATCTTGGGACAACAATCAAATATGTACTATATCCTGATAAAAGTAAAACTTGGCGTATACAAGCTGTGGCGCTAAATGAAACTTCATTTGAAAGCAGGTAATTTTTTTCTATTTAACTGATACCTTTAGATAGTTGAAGAAAAGCAATTCCAGAATAGTTGTGATTAGGAGGCTTAAAGTTTTTTTGTGCCCGGAATTAAGACAGATTTGTGCCTGTTTAAGATTTTTCGTGCCTGGTCCGGGTACAAAAAAATCTTTTTACACTTTTATGCCCGGTGACAGATATGTGCCCGAATTTGATTGATTTGCGCCCGGTTTTAATTAGATTAGGAATAATAATGAGAAAGGTTATTATCACCATCTATTTACTGATGTAGTGACAGAAAAAGACAGAACAGAGAGAATATGTATATAACATATTATATAACAGTCAAACACCGGACAACGCATTTCCTACTTTTCTTGGTCTTCCGATTATCATGATTATGTTCATTAGACGTTGAAACAGCAATTTTTTCATCATTGTAATAGATCACACGAATTTGAAAGTCGCATTCAGGATATTTTCTAGCTTGAGTACATTGATATGTTACTTTTTTTCCAAGAGCTATTGTTTGGGTTCGTCTTATTGAAACATTATGTTGTTTTATAAATGACTTCATATTATTCTCATCAGAAAATTTCTCATAAACATATAGACGTATGTCACAAGCGATATCTGTCAGGATAACTTATGGTCTACTATTAAATTTTCTCACATACAAACCGAGCACAAATCAATCAAATCCGGGCACATATCTGTCTGCGGGCAAAAAAATGTACAAAGATTTTTTTGTACCCAGACCAGGCACAAAAAGTCTTAAACGGACACAAAAAAATCTTCGTCCTGATTATGATAGCAGCTTGTGTTTAAGATACTTGTGTGATCATCTAAACTATTCTGTGTTTATAATGTAAAAGTTAGTTTTAACTCTTTTCTTTTTAAAGATTACCCTTACCAGCTGAATGGTGTGGTTTAAGAGATGAAGTGTTGAGTGTAAAATGTGGTATTTCCGATTGTATATTTGTGCATGCAAATGGTTTTATTGGTGGAAATAAAACATATGATGGTGCTTTAACTATGGCCAGGAAATCACTTGAATTAGGAGACGAGAAAAAACTTTAAATTGACGTTATATTATTTTTTAAATGAACTTTTTTTGCACAAAATATGAAATATGGAACAGCTTAAAATAAAATACTAGTTAAGAAGATAATATACAACATCGAACAAATTCATAAAAATAAAAATAAAAATATTTAGATTGATGTATAGGAAACCAAATTACGTAGACAACTAACATCAATTTATTGGTTTTTTAGATAACAACAACAACAACAGTAACCTAGTCTTTATTTTTCATTAATATCATCAAGGCTATTTTAATGGTTATGTTAACCTACTCTATTCAAGACGATTGTGTTGTCTATATTCCAAGCAGATCAGATTATAAAAGTCTGTCAAGAAACATAAAATCAAAACACATCGTTTATGTAGACTGTCAAAACGATTTTAATATAACAGAAATCACATATTTGTAATTAGAACAATATCCAAAATATATTGTCTCGTACTAAAACGCTGTGGAAAACGAATGATTTACACACAATTTAATCAAACGTTTGACTAGATATTTCCTTATGAGGAAACACATTTGTATCACTAAAAATAAAATTAAAGATTGAAATAAAACGAACGACATGAAAATAAAAATAAAAAATAAATTAGATTTCACATACTGTTTAAAATTTATATTACCATATTCTCATTTCTAATTCATAAATTTTTGTTTTTTTTATTAGTTACGAGAATACTATTTATTTGGAAAAAAAAACCCATCCATATGAAATTAGAGAATATTCTAAGAAAATTGTATTAATTTTGATTCGTGACCGATGAACATCAGAGACGTACCGAATGTAATAAATGTTTACCACTTTATAAAAAGTGTTTTTAGATAATTGACTAGAATTAGAAAAGAGAAAAAAAAAAGATTGTTTTAATATAGAATCGACAATTATATTTCTTACATGTATTTAATGTTCATTCTGTTCCGTTGGTATAATATAACCATCATGACTGTTAGATCGTTGCTGTCTTCTTTTATTTTGTTGTTTAATTTTAATATATTTGACATATTTTCGACACGTTAATATAAGAAATATAAATGATGCTAATGCAATCGTTAATATTAAACATAACCATAATACAAATTCATTTTTTTGTATTATTTTATTTCTATGTTCAGCTGGTATATAATTTGTTTGATTAATCATATAGCCTAGTGTCCAACCCACTTCACCCGTTGGAAAACGTTTTACAAAACTAAGACGTTTAAAATCTTCTTCTTTCCAACCGAGAGCACTTGTTAATAATAACCAAACATACCAACCATCAAAACACATTGTTCGTTTATGTTGTTCATTTTGTTGAGACATATCTTCTTGTTTATAATAGAGCTCGTACGGTGTTTCACATATATCATTAACACGTTGTTTAATATCAGATAAACGATAATTTTTTAAATTAAATTGATCAAATGTTTTATTTGAACGATTATGTAAACCATATGCTAAATTATTGAAAACATAGTAATAACCAGATAAACCAATAAATTTATTTTTTGCTGGTAATGTTGGTTGATATGTATGATCAAATGAACAATAATTAATATTATACGCACAACTAATATTTTTATTATCTTTTTTTGCATTCAATAAATTTAATATGGCTTTTTCACACATTGATGAATTACCTCTACCATAAAATAAAAGTGTTGTTACATTCATAGAAATATTTTGTGTACTAAATTGCTTCTTTTCATTTATTGTACATGGTGAACGAAATATATAATTCCATGATAATGATTCATTTGCATGATTTGGTAAACAATAATCGTCTATAATTAAACGTGAATAATGTTGTTTAAATTGCCAATTTTTTGTTTGTTCATTAATCAATCGAGCACGATAACGTTTATGTACTTCATTTTTTCCCCAACATAAATAACTATGAGCATAGGGTGAATAAACTTTATCAAACAATGTAATATTAGCGGTATATTTTAATGGTATCGGTTCACTTAGTAAATTATTATGAGTAAATGTTACTTGTGTTGAAGCGCCACCCAAATCAAGAACTCCAACCATATCAGTATCAATATCATCGGATGAATGACGTAAGTATGATTTTTGACGTTCATGTTTATGTTTAAATTTTTCCAATAACAAATTAGTTGTTATCCAACCATCAATCGCTTCTTCAAGGCCTGTCAATATTCGTACCTAAAATATAAATATACAGTAATATAATTTTTATCAGTGTTTTTTATATAAAAATCTTAAAAATATATCTTTAATTAAAAGATAATGCATACTTGTCGAGCAATTACAAATTGGAATGGATTATTATGAAATATTTCACGTATTTTTTCTAAAACATTTTCTGCTTTTGTTCTATTTCTTAGACTTAATAATCTCATACCAGCTAAAAAGTAATTAATAAAATAATGATATTTAATTTTTCTCATTAAAATTAAAGATTTAATTTTCTCACCTGTTGCACCTAAAAATATTGGTGAATGTCCATGTCTATTAGATGGAATTTTTATTTTTGCACCTTCTAAACATACATGAAAATATTCTTCTAGATATTCTAAATGATTTTCAAAATCTGATATAGCTCGAAATTTCATATCTGCTTTTTTCATTGATGATGTAGATGTCGTTGGTAATGTTTTTACAATTGTTGACAGAGAACAGTCAAAATATTCATTTACTGTTGATGTTGTACCCAAACCATTTGATTTATCTGCTGGCCAACTATAAACATACATTTTTGTATGCGATGAACCGGCATCAAATATAATCGCATAATTGATAAATGGAGACAATTTTGTACAATAAATATATGTTAAGTAAATAGCTATAATAACTGTTAATGTAAACAATGTTAGTGCAACACCTTGAACAAAATGAATCAATCGAGTTTTTGGTTTTAGCTGAAACGATTGTTTTTGATTTATATCCATTATTTTATTTTTTGTTCTATAATTTACCGCATATAGCAAGAGAATCGACTAAAATAATATAAATATATACACAATATTAAAAAAATTAGAATAGACTATTAATCATAGTAAGAATAGATGCCATATTATCGTTATCTCTAGCTTGAAGTTTGTCATCACTGTGGCCTTTTCACTTTGGTTTTTTTTTTGGTTTTTTTTTTTTGGTTTTTTTTTTTTTGACAAATGGTAGAACAATTTAGCCGATGTCACTTTGAAAATAAACATATAATAAACACAATACTTTCGACTGATATGATAATATCAACTTTTGTTGACATATAGCAAAATAGAAATAATTTCTTTAACTCTTCTACTAGCGATGGTACAAAAAATGATTTCATAACTAACTTACCACAGTCGCACGAAGGGGGGTTTCTGAATTTTTTTATAGACTTATAGAGATTAATAGATTTGATCTTACGATTAACGATCATCATATGGGAAAAATTTAGATATATTGACATCGTAGGCGTTTGACGATAGGAGAGATACGATTTTCTATTGAAACTAGTTTATCTAAAACATTTGTATTTCGTGACAGCAAACATTAGTTGACACTATAACTGTCACCATTCATTGTCTATATATAGTAGATATTAATTATTGTTGAACACGAATTTTAAAATGAATAGAAAGATTTGTGTAATATTTTTTAAAAAAAATGATCATTCATAAAAAAAAGAAAAGAAAAAATGACTTGTCTTATGAAATGGAAATACTCTATTAAATCAAATGATTATTCAATAATAACAAGTACGTTTAAATCATCTTTTCATGTACAATTGAGTGAGTTAAGATCAATTTATATTTGATTTAATTGTAAAAATATAAGAATATTATATTTCAAAATCATTTCTCTTATTTTCTTCTTCTTGATCATCTCTAGAATGATCTGCAGAAGTCAACTAATGTGATTTCTTTTTCCTATATAAGAAAGAAAAGTTAATAATTACCAAGAATAAAACTATTACTTAAACAAGTGTCACAATTGTACAAAATGACAAGTTTATCGTTAAAAATACACATTATCTACTGAGAAGAAAATATTAGATGATTCGAAGTAATTAATAAGTATAATATGTGTTATAAAGTTGTCCATCTTTACATTTTTAATCGTAATACAAAAGAAATAAATTGATAACTACTACTACATCGTACGGATTTTATCAAATTAATTTTTCATTTATTTTTATCTGACACAATTTTTTCTACTCATTTTTTTTTACAGAATAAAAATTATTATTTTTTACGATAAAATTTAATTACAATGTGTCCTTTGTGCAATCGTATTATGACAATTCACTGATGTTTATAGAAAAAATAAAAAATTTCAAATCATAGAAAAATATTCATATCTGAAACTATGTATAATGAAAATATATTGACTTACCGATTGGATTGAATAAGGTACACAATGAGCTAAATTATATACGCATCGTATGTTTGAGATTGTAAGTTATACTATCCGTTGACATTGCTTTTAATTTATATTAAAGTTAGAATATGAATACAATAATCTAAAAGAACATAGTCGATGGTTTTAATAATATTTTCGTAAAATAAAATCATTTTTTTTCTTCTCCTAATTTAATATCTTTGATAATCTAAATGATAATCGATATTAATAACTAACATTTCATTCTATACATCTTTTAAAAAATGAATGTCTAACAAGACCATAAAGAATCAATATTGAATATTTTATTTTACTTGATAAAATCGATTTTCATAGATTCTATGAAAATATCTTGAAAAATAAAATTTATCTTTCAAGAAGAAACAGTTGACTAGTCGTTTGTTAACAGAATCAGTATACTAGATCAATTACTATTCTAAATACCAAAAAAATATGGTTTCAATTACATTTTTTATCTTAAATTAAAATATTTTTTGGTCTGTTGAAAAATAATAGATAAGAATAATTTTTTTTATTACAAATTCATAGAATAAAAAATTATTATTCTATACCTTTTTTTATTCGAAATCAGTATCGAGTTATACCATGTATATAAATGATATGTACAATATCTTATCAAATAGACAGACAAAACGCACACACATATCTGATAAAAATGTATTTTTTTAAGGCATTAGTATCTAAATAGTTTTCTTTGACGTAAATAACTACATAAACAACAATAATGACAAAAATAACAATAATAACACAAAATCTCAAAACAAAAAATATTATTATATAATATATTATTTTTCACTGTGATCGATTAAATCTTTTAATTGAATAATAATTATTTGTAATAATATCATCACTTTATACACAACAAACTATAAATTTTTTTTTCGACTCACGTGATCAATATAAAAGTTCATTTAATATGAATCTTAGACTCATTTATTTGGAGACTATACTGTATTAACTATATGAAATTGTCTAACAATCTTTAATAATAAAGTCCTTATCTAAGAATAACATTTGTTGTTGTTTTTTTATCTCAAAATTTAGATCTATTAGAGAATACTCATTTTTCATAGAAATTATAAATTCTACGAACTCTTTTTCTCTTGTACTTCGATATTTAAATTATAATCTATCTAACAGTTAAAAAAATATATTATCAGAAAAAAAATCAATTGAAATGACTCTCTCTATACAGACTTCATATAAAATTTGTTGTTTTATTCATACTTTCTCTTTACGAGTATATTATCAATATTATATTTATTCTTTACTTTCTTTTTTAGACTAAATACATAATGAAACAGGATATGGTCCAGTAGTTGATAGTATATATAAAGACATCAGCAATTGTTTTTTTTTTTTTTTTCTTATTCTACTTTAATACATCGCATGCATAAAGACAGGTGTTAGGGTTTTTTATTGTAACAGAAAAGTATAAAAACACAATAATAAGATTACCGTACAAATAGGGTTTTTTTAAAGATAGTATTTGACTTTTTACATTACAAAAACTAAAAAAGAGAATGCTCATCATATGTATATTGTATGCACGTATGTATTATAAATTGTGTCCTCTTCTATATTTTTTCTTTTATCCTTCCTTCTTCTCTTATCATATATTGTACGATGATGTTTCTCATATATAAATAATCTGTAGAGAGAGAGAGAGAGAGAGAGAGTACGTGATACAATTATTCAATAGAAAGACTTCTTTTCCTTTTCTAAACCACTTAACAAATCGGAAAAAATTATTGTTAACACGGAACTTATTATATAAAAGTCAGTGTTAGAAAAAAAAATTATTTTCAATGATAAAAAAAAGATTTGATCTAAACAATTTCAAGGTTATTTCAGTTATTTTTATGGAAATCATTTTGTACTTATAATTATATTAATTGTCATATTTTAGCTCAATAAAAAAATAGTATGTCAATCTTTGTCGATTAACAACTGATGTTTCAAATATAATTTAATTAAAGTAAGAAAAAAACAAAATTCTTAAACAATAACAAATATATATATATATATTATAAATTCTCAAGCACTTATTTATACGATAGATATTTTACAATGTATATTTATAGATATGTAGATATGTATATGCCGTTAGTAGTAAATATTGACTAATAAATATTGATATATAAAGTATTTATACTCTTTTCATCTGAAAGTATGATTGCTCGATACAGAGAGAGAGAATGAAATTTTTCGTTTTTTATGCAATGATTTTTACTACTAATCTAATTTTGTGAACTAATCATTAAATTTTGATAATTATGTTTAAAAATATTTTTTATTCTGTTCTATAGTATGTAATTGTCAAGTCTTCTAACTGTAAGTCGACATCTATCTTTGTCTTGATATTAATCGCAGATAATTGTCATTTTTAAATATTATTTTTATTAAAAACATAACGTGTTGTTTTCAAAAGAAAATAATTTAGTGAACAAAAATCTACATATCTAAGCATTTTTCTGAACTACACATACATCAAACATATGAAAGAACATGTTTTTTTAGGTCTACATAGTGCTTCAATAGTCAATTCTAAATTGGTATCATCAAAAATATTCATTTTCCGGAGATAATATTAGCGTTAATCGGAAAGGAGAAAAATAGCAAATTAAGTGTAAACTTAAGGCTAACTTACAGACATAAAGCTTTGAGTATAAAAATAAAACTTAAAATTATGATATGCACGATCTACGTATCATCGTACACTGTCTATATCATTTTTCCACTCAAAAAAAAATTTTCCTACTAACAAAACTGACTATCTGAGGGGTACAACAGTTAAACATTTTGAGCGAAACTTTTCCACTAGAAAAAGCCAAAAATCATATGAATAGTATAAAAAGATATATGCCCCAAGCATGAACAAAAAAAAAAGCGTGAAACGGACACTTGCATCGAGATAAAAGGTATATTTATCTAACCTGAATCTAGATGTAATGAAATATATGAAAATTTTATCTACCGTCATCAAGATTGAATGAATTTAGCTTCAATTGCCTACAGGTAGATACTGTTAATTAATCAGACATTTTCAAGTACCAGATAAATCGGTCAATAGAGCGGCTGCTTCATCTAGAAAACAGTTTCAATCACCATAAAATTAGATAAATGTACCTTTTAATCTAGTTGCTAGAGGGCATTGAAATTAGATTTTCTCGCTTACTTAGTTTTTTTATTTAGAATGTAGATGACAAATATGATATTTTAAAAGCGTCAATATAGTCATTGTTATGTTGTTTAATTGAAAAAAAACTCTTTTTTGTTTGTACGAAATATTTATTCTTTTAAAATTATCACTTGACTTTTAGTAGACAAAAATATGAGAGCAAAAGAGATCAACTTCCTCATTTTTTAAACGATAATTAAAGTTATTTAACATATGCTCACCTGTTTCTGTTCCTTTTACAAATATGTAAACACTAGCTTGAGCTAATCTTTTATTATAATGAAAAATATTGTTAAATAAAAACAAACCTTCATTATATAAACCAGAGAATTATAATTATTTTGTTAGTCCCATACTCATTGT